ACCACCACCACTACTGCTGTTATTATTATTTTGCACAAGATAGGGAAGCCATTTAGATTTTTGTTTTGTTTAGGGATAGGCCCTCACTATGTATGTAGTCCTGACTGTCCTGGAACTTGCTCTGTATATCAGGCTGACCTTGAACTCACAGAGATAAGACTGTCTCTGTCTCCCAAGTGCTGGGATTAAAGGCCTGCACCACCACATTGGCTGATAATTTTTTATGACAGAAGTATCTTAAAAGTTTTTCTAATTTTTTTTATCTGTATGCATATATTGCCTGCATGTATGTAAGTGCACCCATGTCATGCAAAGCCTCCAGAGGTCAAAAGAGGGCATAAGATTCCCCTGGCACTGAAGTTACAGATGACTGTTAGCTGCCATGTGGGTGCTGGGAATCAAAGCTGGGTCCTCTGCAAGAGCAGTCAGTGCTCTTAACCACTTCTAAGTCCCCACCTTTACCTACAAAACACAAGGAGAGGAAAGGTCATGTGAAGACACATCAGAAAGCTGGACACCTGCACACCAGGAAGAGATGCCTCACCAGAGACAACCCTTCTTAGATCTTCACCTCAGGTTTCAACACTTCAGTAAATTTCTGTTCTGCCCACCCAGTCTGCAGCATGCTGTGACAGGGACTCGAGCTAACACAGGCCTTCTCCACTGACCTCTACCTTCAACATTTGAAAACCTCCCATGATAGATCAGACTTCTGAACCAGAGTTATTGCTTTCTTGGCAGCAGTTCCTAAGAACATCTTCCAGGAATCTGTAGAAGAGGTTTGCTCTAATGCAGACCTTAAGACTGGGATTTATATTAACTATATCTGAAATCATGGACTACACAGAATTCACTTTAATCTTCCATCTTTTCCTCTACCTTCTTCATACAGCCATTACAGTGACATAGTGATTTTTACCAATCGATATTTACAGATTTGATCATCATATCATCTAGGAAGGCCCTAGTGACTCAAACTTTCCAGGCTCAAAGACCTGGGTTTGAGTCCTGGCTCTACCACCCACCAGTTGTTTATTCTTGTACACCTCGCTTTCTCTGTAACTCACTTTCCTCATGTGTAAAGCAGGTTTTGTGACTACAGTGCCCATGTCACTGGCACAGCCTCTAGCCAATAGTAGGTACTCATATATCCTGGCCATTTTCATCACCATCAGTATAACTCTAGCACTTTTTTCTTTTTTAAAATATTTTATTTATTATTATTTTATGTGTATGCGTGTATTGCCTACATGTAGGTAAGTGCACCCGTGTCATGCAATGCCTGCGGAGGACAGAAGAGGCTGTCGGATCCCCTGGAACTGGAGTTACAGACAGTTGTTAGCTGCCATGTGAGTTCTGGGATTCGAACCTGGGTCTTCTTCAAGAACAACCAGTATTCTTAACCGTTGAGCCATCTCTCCAGCCCCACTTTTTTCTTTTTTAATTGTGTCTGTGTGTGAGTGCAGTGCCCTCAGAGGCCAGAAAATGGCATCTCAGATCCTCTAAAGATAGAGTTACAAATGGTTCTTAGCTGCTGGATGTAGCTCCCTGCTAAGGAGTTTTTAGTGATGCAGCTGTTCTATAGTCACCCATCCTCCACCCCACCTCCAAACTTATGCTCCTATAAGTAACCCCAATAAAATCATTGGTTCACCAAGCTGGACTTGAATGTAGTTACTTCTTTGGTCTGCCTGAGCCCTGTCTGTTGCTTTGCATCTCTTTAAAAAACAAACAAATAGGGGCTGGAGAGATGGCTCAGCGGTTAAGAGCACTGACTGCTCTTGCCAAGGACCCAGGTTCTATTCCCAGCACCCACATGGCGGCTACGAACAGTCCTTAACTCCAGTTCCAGGGGAATCTGAAGCCCTCTTCTGACCTCCATGGCATTGCATGACATGGGTGCACTCACATACATGCAGGCAATACACTCATACACATAAAATAATAAATAAAATATTTTTTAAAATAAGCAAATAAAACATGCCACTTGGTGCCTGAACAGGGGATGACAGAGTCAAAGATGCATAGGCATGGAGCATCATAGGGGACTCCCCCTGTGACAGTCTTCCTCCTGGGGCACCATCACATGCTTCCTTTATAAGGCAGCAGTTGCAAGGTCCCTGTTATGGGTAATTAGAGCGGCAACTGGGGCTGTGCTGTCTGCTCAGAGAGAGCTCACACACATAAGGGAAGAATTACAACAGGAAATAAACAGGTGAGAAACAACTTTTATGATTGGCAGGGAAGATGGACAAGAGAAAGTACTGGCTTGTGATGTCTTAAGCAAGGTGGGGAAGGATAAGGGAAAACAGACAATGGGCCCTATCCAGGGTACTAGAAAACAAATGGTGAGATTTGTGTTGAGCCCAACTTCCTATGGAAAGATTTGACCAAAAGCCAAATGCTGGGCATGTAAGCCTCTGGAAGGCTTCAGCCTGAAGTAGTTCAGGAGATGTAGTGGTTCCCAAAGCAGCCCTGCTTTGGAGGAAGGAGATCTTTTGGGAACGGGAACCACACTAGCTGCTCCTTTAACAGTAGCCAATGTTGCCTACAGGTGAAAGTCTTACATGGCAACCAGGGGCTCCAAGTTGAATGTCAGACTTCTTGGTCCCTTACTAGTGTGCTTTGAACTTCGGTGGATCCTGGAACCAAGTCACCTTAATTCATAGCAACCCCCCAAAGCACCAGGGGTCAATGGGCAGGAGTGGGTGGATACAGAGAGAGTAATACCAAAGAAAGAGATTACGCTTGTCTCAAAGATATGCAATTATGCACACACCCGCAACAGTATATTGGATACATTTACCCCATGCAACACAGTATACTGAAGGTGGACATACTGTTGGGGCACACCTTCCATACCTCCATTAGAGTTTCCCCTCAGGGTATGAACTATAAAGGCAATCATGCACGGTTGAGCAACATGGAGTCCATAAATAGAGATTACTTATCCAGCACAAAGCCCTTTCGGCAACCAGGTGTGGCTGGTAAAGGCACACACCTTTGATCCCAGCACTTGGGAGGCAGAGGCAATTGGATCTCTGTGAGTTCAAGGCCAGCCTGGTCCACATAGTGAGTTCCAGGACAGCTGGGCTACAGGGGAGACCCTGTCTCAAAAAGACCCCCAAAAAAAGGAAGACAAACAGCAGGGCTAGAGAGATGTCAGTGGTTAAGAGCGCTGGCTGTTCTTGCAGAAGAATTGGGTTCAAATCCCAGTACCCACATGGTGACTAACAACTATCTGTAACTCCAATTCCAGGGGATCCAACACCCTCTTCTGTCCTCCATGGGCACTGCACGACACAGATGCACTTACATACATATAGGCATAACACTCATACACATAAAAATTAAATAAATTTTTAAAAAGAGAGCTTGTGAAGAATAACTGAATTATAGAGAACTAAATTAATAAGGCAGTGCCTTGCCGAACACTGTCCTTTAAAAGAAATTTTTTTCAGCCAGGTGTGGTGGTACACACCTTTAACCCCAGCCCTCGGGAATTAGAAGCAGGCAGGTCTCTGTGAGATGGAGGCCAGCCTGATCTAATAGTGATCACCTAGGGCTACAGGGAGACCCTGTTTCAAAATACAAGGGGGACATCTCCTGAGATACAATACCTAAGGGTGTCCTCTGGCCTCCATATGCATGTATACACACACACAAGCTCACCCACACAAACATGCACACACACACAAGATATACAAAGAAAACATATTCTGTATACAACAGATGTTCAATTAACACCGATTAGTAGTAATGGTAGTGGCAGCGATGGTGGTAGTGAAGATGGTGATAGAGATGACAGTCACGATGGAGAACACAAGGCACAGAACGTGTGCTAAATGCTGGTAGAGATGATGCATGTGAACAGACCTCACCTGAGTCCTCTCCATACCAGTCATTCTGAACGTCCACCATCGAACTCATGGCCGCCCCTGTGCCTTCTGGTCTTCCATCCAAACTATGAGAAAAGTGATGATCTGAGTCATCTTTGCTCTGGACAGCTCCATTACGCAGGAGAGCCTCCAGGAACTGCTTCACGTGATAGCTATTGTAAGCCAAATCCATGGCCTGGCTACTGGACAGGCCCTCCTCCACATGGGCCAGGCTGAGGGGGGTGGTATAGTGCTGCAAGGGCTCACCAGCCTCCATCAGCACTCTGGGAGCATCAAATTTTACCTTGGGCTCAACCCGCCTGGGCAGAATAATAAGGTCACTGTCAGAGGGGCCAGAGCCCTGGCTATCTTTCCCCACCAGTTCCAAGGGATAGCAGTCCCTGCAGTCATCACAAGGGGACGCTCTTGTGCAGTCCACACTCCCTTCTCCCTCCACTGGGGAGGAAACAAAGCCCTTGGTACCAGAGGAGGTCCCCTCCTGGCTTCCACTGTCTATCTGCTGAGCCGCAGCTGCTGCAGCTGCAGCCACCACCGCAGCCACAGCAGCTTCCTTCTCCATCTTCCGGCAAATGTCAAGGGATGACCTGATATATGTTTTGCAGAAGTTCACCACGTCATTCATCTGCAGGTAGCTGGCAGCTGACATCACTTCAATCACGTTCTCTCCACACAGATCCAACTTCCCAGAGTAGAGGAAATCTAAGATGATGGAAAAGGCCTCGGAGGTGACAATGTCCAAGGAGGCGGTGCTGTGCCGCCCACTGTCCTGAATGTAGTGAATGAGCAGGGCACGGAAGTAGCCACTGTTAGCAAATAGAATGTTCCTGTGGGCCTTGAAGATGCGGCCTTCCACTATGATGCTGCAGTCACAGAAAAAGTCCCTCTTCCGCTGCTCATTCAACTCCCCCAGGAGCTTGTCGCAATAAGATGGCGCCTCCATTTCTCCACCTGCTGCTGCTGTTCTGCGGGGGGCCTATAGCTCTGCCAAGATTTTTATTCATGTTAATTCATGAATTACAACCTTACAAATAAACTGTTCTTTTAATTTGGTGGAGGGCAGTTATCAGACCTCATGGACCCCAGACTGGCCTCAAATTGGCTATGGAGCAAAGGATGATCTTGAATTTCTGATCCTTCCTCCTCCACCTCCCTAGGATTACAGGTATGTGTCACCACAGCCAGTTTATGTGGTGATGGTCTGATCCAGGGCTTCCTGTATGCTAGGTAAGCATTCTATCAACTGATCTATATCTCTAGCCCCAAGATGTTCATATATATACATATATAAATCTTTTCAAACCACTGGCTTAAAGCCCACTGTGGTGACACACACCTTTAATCCCAGCACATGGAAGGTAGAAGCAGGTAGATCTCCATGAGTTCAAAACCAGCCTGGTCTACAGAGCAAGCTCCAGATCAGCCAGGGCTACATAATGAGACTCTCTCTCAAAAATACAAAACAGGACTGAAGAAATGGTTCAGTGGTTAAGAGCACCAGTTGCTCCATTCCCAGCACCGACATGACAGCTAACAATTGTCCATAACTCCAGTTCCAGGGGATCTGATGCTTTCTTCTGACCTCTGTGGGCTTTGTATGACATGGATTCACTTACATACATGCAGGCAAGACACTCATACACATAAAATAAAAATAAATAAATAAATAACAAATAACAAATAAAAAACCCATGTAATTTCAGCACTTGAGAGGTAGAGGCAGGAAGATCAGGTATTTAAGGTCATCTTTGACTTTTTTTACATTTACCTATTTTGCGTGTGTGTGTGTGTGTGTGTGTGTGTGTGTGTGTATGTGTTGTCTCTATTTTTTCAATAGAGGAATTAAAGATAGGAAATGACCTAGCTATAACACAGTCAACACTCAAAACTGGCTAAGGGCTGTTGGCCTCTGGAGTCAATGTATCTTATGCACTATGCTCTACTTCAAGTTTCAAATGTTAGAAAAATACAAGAATCACCGGGCATGGTGGTGCACACCTTTAATCCCAGCACTCAGGAAGGCAGAGGCAGGCAGATCTCTGTGAGTTTGAGGCCAGCTTGGTCAGGTCACATAGCGAGTTCCAGGCCAGCTGGGGCTACAGGGAGTCCCTGTCTCAAAAATACATCCCCCACAAAAAAAAAAGAAAGAAAAGAAAATACAAGAATCTACAAAGTACTTTAGCTTCCAGTGTTCTAATCTGGACTTAGAAACTGGCCAGTACAGCCTCAGTTCACACCTTTATCACCATTTTATGGGGAAATTTGGTGGATTCCTGGGCTAGTCAGCATACACGCTCCATTCTAATGGCCTCTATAGAACAATCTTTCCCCCATTCTTGGTCAATGTGCTTTGCATAAAGATGGTACTATCCACCCCAGGCTCCAGGTATATAGGCTGTAAGGCAGGGCGCCATAATCGATGTATCTTACTCTCTGACCATCAGTGATGGCACTGTGGCTTGGCCAGAGCCAATGAAAAGCAATGGACCTTTGCTGGACTTCTGAAAAGGGCATTCTGCTCTGCAGGCATGCAGGAGGTGACAGATGCTGCTGCCACCCCGCCAAAGGAACCAGTCTAACAAAGACGACAGCCCTCGGGATAATATCTAAGCCCTAGATCAAACTGTGCCTGAACCAATTATGTCCCTTTCTGCTTTAGTTGGTCTGAGTTGCATTTTCCCTTGCTTGCCGCTGAGGTGACTGAACTCTACCACCTTTGGTTAACACTTTCCTATGATTACTGTCCTGGCCTCTCTCTGTTAGAAGAATGTAAGTTCTTTTAAGGCATGAGCATATCATTAAATCTGACAGCCCTCACAGCACCTGGTGGTGTGCTTTGAAAAAGTATGTTTGGTAAGTTAAAATTTACACTCCAGCCAGGTGTGGTGGTGCACGCCTGTAGTCCCAGCACTTGGGAGGCAGAGGCAGGTGGATCTCTGTGAGTTCAAGGCCAGCCTGGTCTACACAGTGAGTTCCAGGACAGCTCGGGCTATAGGGAGAGCCTGTCTCAAAAAGAACAAAACAACAAAGAAAAAGTTACACTCCTGTTTTTTAACTGCTAAGTGAAACAAGTATAATCAAATTTAAAATCTCCCAGGTAATGAGGAAAATGAAGGTGCTAGCTTCCAACCCAAGCTCTCCCCATCTCTCCCATCAAACCATAACCATCCATCAACCACTCCTTTCCTTTACCTACTGATCCACTGGACTCAGAGAAATCCTGACAACCCAGTGTAGTCAGCCCTCCATAGCAGTGGTTTCTGTATTTATGCATTCAACCAACTGTGGATTGAATATATTTGAGAGGAGAAAAGTCAAACCTGAGCTGGGTATGGTGGCACACTCCTTTAGTGTCAGCACTCAGGAGGCAAAGGAAGGTAGATCTCTATTAGTTAGAGGTTAGCTTGGTCTACATAGTAAGTTCCAGGCTAGCCAGAGCTACACAGTGAGACCCTGTCTCCAAAAAAGAACGAAAAGGCAAACCTGAAAACCTGTACTGAACAGGTATAGAGTTTTTCTTTTAGTTAATTTATTTTGGGGTGTGCATGTGTGGGCACATGTGCCATGGTACCCATGTGAAGATCAAGAGGTTGACTTGTAGGGGTCAGTTCTCTCCTGACAAGTGAGTTCCTAGGATCAAACTTAGGCTTGGTGGCAAGCACCTTTATCCACAGAGCTATCTCAGGAGTCCAAGTTTTGTATTTTTATATTCATCTTTTTTTAATTATTTATTTTTATTTTATGTGTATGAGTGTATTGCCTGCATGTATGTAAGTGTGCCCCTGTCATGCAGTGCCCTCAGAGGTCAGAAGAGGTCATCCAATCCCTGGAATTATGGATGGTAGTTAGCCATCATGTGTGTGCTAGAAATTGAACCCAGATCTTCTGCAAGAACAGTCAGTGCTCTTAGCCACGGAACAATCTCTCCAGCCCCCTATATTCATCTTAAATTCAACAAAAGCCTGTCATAATTTTAAGAAGCATCTCATGCAAAGCAGTTAATGTTTTGGTTTGAAAGGAAGAGCACTGTCATGTATCTGTAAAAAAAAAGTCTACTGTTCCTAAATGAACCACTCTTGGTAGTTTCCCCAGGACAGAGGCTCCTCTGTCACTCCCACCTCTTCCACTGACCCAGCCTCATATTCTTGGCACATGCTACCACTGCCGTTGGCAATCAAAATAATAAGCGAAAAATAAGCCTTCAAAAAAAATTTTTTTGAGACAGGATCTTACTCTATAATCTTGGCTAGCTTAGAACTCACCATGTAAACCAGGCTGGCCTCAAACCTGCCTTGGCCCTCCTGTCTTAGTCCCCCTGCCTCTGCCTTTTGAGTGCTGAGATTACAGGCACATGTCACCATGTCTGTGGAGCATTAGGAAAATACTACATTTAAATACCTTTATTCTTCCTCAGATTGAAAGAATCTATCAGATTGATAACATCAATTTTTTTCAATGTGCTAATACCCAGTGTTGTTAGAGATATAATTTAGACATCATTTAGAGGGGAACTTGGCAATATTTATCAAAACTGACACATGCCTATAGTCCCAGCTACTAGGAAGCAAAGGCAAAGGGACAGTTTGAGGTCAGGAGTTCAGGCCAGGAACCTAAACAACGTCATAAGCCACCATCTCAACAACAAAAACACACATACCTTTGTCTCAACAAGTTTACTGCTACACATTTACACTTCTGGATGTATTCCCAAATACATCACAGTGTAAGTTCAGAGATACACACTGTACAACTTTACTTTTTGTTTGTCTGTTGAGACTAAGTCTCACTATGTATTCCTGGCTGGCCTGGAGCTCCTATGAGGACAAGACTCTGCCTTCCAAATACTGGGGTTACTGTGGTACATGCTGGATATACCATATTTTTGTACTACAACAAAGGCAGAAATAATTTAAACATCCATCACCAGGGCACAAGTTAAATAAGATTACAGTCATGGGGAAGAATGGTATATACATACTATTTAAGTTCTAAGAATGAAAATGGGTCATTGGTGCCTTAGCAAGAATAAAATCAAATAAAGCCAAGAGAGCATAAAGAAGCGGATTGTGTAGGCATTGCACACATGTGGTACACTTACATACATGCAGGCAAAACACTCAGACACATAAAAAGTAAACAAATTTGAAAAAGTACTTCCTCAAGGATGCCTGCCTTCCTGCCTGTTTAAGTCTCTGACTGAGACTACTATTGCTGATCTTATAGCCCAGGACTATTGTTTCCAAAGACTTTATATAATCCTCATTTGCCTTTAGAATTTCCCTTTGACTCAGTCTCCTTGGTTTACTGTAGCATTCTGCATTTGCATTTCCAGTGCTATGCTTGCCTGTTCCCAAATAAACTACTTAAGCTTTAAAGATTCTCTGATTGTTACTTAAGTTGACACAATCATGTAGAATTGTGTATTGCAAGTGAAAATGTCACCAAGATATATAAGTATTAGAGAAAAAACAAAACAAAACACCCCTCCACGTGTGGTGGGACAGGCCTTTAATCCCAACCCTCAGGAGGCAGAGGCAGGTGGATCTGTGAGTTCAAGGCCAGCCTGGTCTATGTAGTGAATTCCAGATCAGCTAGGGCTACAGAGAGACCATATCTCAAAAAAACAGAACAAAATAACAACAACAAAAAAACTAAACAAGATCCAAAATAAACTGGTGTGTGTGTGTGTGTGTGTGTGTGTGTGTGTTTACTGCTATATAAGGCTATATATGTGATTTTTTCTGGAAAATTACACAAGAAAGATAAGAAGAAAAGCGTTAGGGATAAGAATTATACTGAAGGATCTTTATTTTTCATCTTATGCCTTCCTGGCTGGATGTGGGGTACACATCTATAGTTCTAACTAAATGGAAGGATGGGTCAAGAGAATCACTTGAGCCCAAGTGTTCAAGATCAGCTTGAGCAACACAGTAAGAGAGACACCATCACAGAACAAAACAACACAGAAAAATGTTCCAGTAGAGCTGGACTATTTTACGATGTGCATGTATTACTTTTGTTCTTTTTTTAACTAAGACAAAAACAAAACAAAACCAGAAAAGCCAGGCATAGTGGCACATACCTGTAATTCCAGCACTTAATAGGCTGAGGCAGTAGGATGACTGAGTTCCAAGCCAGCCTGGATTGCAGAGTAAGACCATACCTCAAAACACAAAAACAAAAATAAAAAGAAGAAAGTGTGGAACACGAAGTTGACAAACCAAGGAGACACACAGAAATATGAACCACATCTCTTAATTTGTACAACGGTTCCGGTCTACAGCACTTTCCTGTGAAACATCCTTATTTCATGGGAAATTGCTGCTTTCCCACCGTAGTACTCCAAACCCAATTCTTTGGGCTATTTCACTCTATATATCCCTAATTCTTTTGGGTTATGCAAATATTCTCTGGTTTCGTAAAAGTGTAACCACATACTCTCCACAAGCCTTTGCCCAGTCCTGCACTTGTATATAATGGAAATAATTTATTCACATCGACTCCACTTCACTTTGGTGCTCTGCACCCCTAGGACATGATGAAGACTACTATTTCCCACAGGAAAGTAGCTCAGAGTATACACTACTCTCAGAAGCACACTAACCCACACACTGGTGGCACTCTGAATCTACCCATGGTTCCAATTCAATCCAACAATGACCAAGTATGGGGGGTGAGATGGTACAGCTGGTAAAGACACTTGTTGCCAAGGCTAATGGCTTGAGTTCAATTCTCAGGATCCATATAGTAAAAACAAAAAACTGACTCCAAGAAAACGACTTCCATACAAACATGTGTGCACACATACACACAATACACATGACACTAAAAAACTTTAAATCAAGGACAATCCTAATCCTAGTTAAATGACAGAGACAGGAGGATCAGGTGTTCAGGGCCATCTTGGCTGCCTTAGTGAGCTTGAGGCAAGCCTGTGCTTTGTGAGCTCTTATCTCAAAACACCAAGGGGGCAGGTGGGAAACAGTGCTGGGGAGACTGCAAAGCGCTCTCCGAATAACTATAATGATCTGAGTTGGATCCCCAGCACACATGTAAAAACACTGGTTGTGATGGCTCCCATCTGTGATCCCAGCACTTGGGAGGCAGAGGCAGGCGGATCTCTGTGAGTTCAAGGCTGGTCTGGGCTACATAGTGAGTTCCAGGACAGCTGGGGCTACAGGGAGACCTTGTCTCAACCAAAAAAAAAAAAAAAAAAAAAAAAAGTAAAAAAAAAAAAAAGCAAGTACTAAATATGGGGGCTAGTGCTATAGCTCAGTTGCATTCATGAGGTCCTGGGTTTGATCCCAACACTGTATTAACTGGGTATGGTAGTACAAGTTGAAAGTTCCAGCACTCAGAAGGAAGAGGCAGGAGGAACAGAGTTCAATGTCATCCTTAGCTACACATCCAATTCAAGATTAGCCTGGGCTACATGAGACCCTGTCCCCCTCAAAACAACAAATGGTTACTATGTACACTGCCTGACATAAGAAAGATGTCAGGAATAGGAAAATTAATCAAACACAGTACTTATCTCTCAGGAGAGTGCAAATGCGCATACTACCGTGTATAGTATAACCCCCTGGATACCCTTGAGGGAATCCTAGCCAGACTACAGGACTGTCTTTATCAAAGACAAAAACAGCCTTGAATTCCAGCTTGCTCTCTCTCCCTCTCCTTTTCTCACTTTTCTTTCATTCATTTCATTTGTTTGTTTTGAGTTTGTTTTGAGACAGGGTATAAAGACTAGGCTTGAACTTGCTTGCATCCTCCTGCCTCTGTCTCCCGAGTGCTAGGATAACAGGAGTGCACTCTTTCTTACAATCCTCCTCCAGTGCCACCAACCTGAGCATAATAAAAACTCTTAGAATTTATTGAACAGTGGGGCTAGAGAGATGGCTCAGCAGTTAAGATCATTGGCTGCTCTTGCAGAGGACCCAGGTTCGGTTCCCAGCTCCCACATAGTGGCTAACAGCCATCCATAACTACAGTTCCAGGGGATCTGACACCCTCTTTTGACCTCTGAAGGCATTGTATTACACGGGTGCACTTACCTACAGACAATACACTCACACATAAAAATTCTTTTTAATTCAATTTTTAAAAAAAAGAATTTATTGAACACTATTCCTTAAGAAGCATTATTCTTGGGTGGGCATGGTGGTTAGTTCCAGCACTGGGAGGCAGAGACAGGAGAAAGTAAGTTCAACTTTCTGTCAGTTCAAGATCTGTCTGGTCTACATAGTGAGACCTTGTCCCAAAACAAAAACAAGGAAATAAAACATGTATGAATGAAGATTATGCAGATTTGCTATCCCTGCACTCAGGAGACAGAGGCAGGTGATTGTGTGAGCTGGAGGTCAGTCTCGTCCATACAGTGAGTTCAACGCCAGCCAGGGCTACATAGTGAGACCCTGTCTGCAGGAAGAAGTGGCACTATGCAAACTACCTCATAAGCACATCCATTTTAGCCTCACACTAACCCAGTGCAGAATATTTTCATTTCTCAGAGGGGAAAATTGAAGTTCAAAGATAGAGACACGTCCCCGGCAGAATTCGGGATCCATATTTGATTGATTCCAGGGATGACATCCTTAACCACTGTTTACACATCTCCCCAAACCCTCTAAGACATCCTGCTCTGGCCCTCAAAAAGCCGCTCCTTCCTGACACATGGAGAGGAGGGAACCCACAGAGAGAACAGTTTCCGTTTGCACAGAATTCCAATTCATCTTTGATTATCCCACGAAACTGCTTTCAAGACAGAGGGCACAATCCGATCCAGAGTCAGAAGCCACTGGAACCAGGCACTGGCCGAGGCTCCTGGCGCCTGGGCGTGGGAACCCGCGGCCTTGCCCCTCCAGTGGCCTCCGCGGGTAAAGTGACCATCGCTGCCTGGTCCAGCCTGGCTGCGCCCTGGCGCCCAGGCTACCTTCACAGTCGGAACAGGTTGGCGCCCGGACCCCCTCCAGGACATGCAGATGGGTACCCACAGCCTGGGAAGGGTGGGGACCCGTGCCACCCGTGCGCCCGCCCCACGAAAGAGCAGGGAGGGTGGGACCCGGGGCAGCCCGGGTCCAGCGAGCTAGAGGAAGCTGATGGAGAAAGGCAACTGTGCCTGCCTCCCGGGGTGCCTAGAATCTTCCCCCAAACCAATGAAAGCGCGAACCTGCTTCTCGGTTCTCACCTGGCACCGGGTTCCAGACGGGCGGCTAGCGAGCTGCGCGCGGCGACACGCCCCCCTTTCACTCACCTGGCGCCCCCTCCTGTGAGAGGCGGGGCAGCTGACCAATGACGGAACTCGAAAGCTCAGGGAGGCGGGCCCTCCAGCCAGCAGGCCTGTCAGTGGCGATAGAGAATGCGCCCAAAGGCGTGCATGTTCTCTGGGTGATGGGAGTTGTGGTCTCGGCGCTCTGTTTTCGGGTAAAGAGATAATGGACAAAACTACAAGTACCAAGATGCCGAAAAGGATAAGGATCAGCTTTTGTAAAAAAAAAAAAAAAAACCCTCCATCTGGGCTGGAGAGATGGCTCAGCAGTTGTGCTTTTAAGTTCAGCCTTTAAGAGCACTGGCTACTCTTGCAGAAGACCCAGGTTCAACTTCCACCACCCACATCGTGGCTAACAACTGTCCGTAACTCTAGTTCCAAGGGATCCGACGCCCTCTTCTGACCTCCACAGGCATTTCACGACATGGGTGCACTTACGCACATGTAGGCAATACACTCAGACGCATAAAATAAAAATAATAATTTTTAAAAAAAAAAACTCCGTCTGGGGCTGGAGAGATGGCTCAGCAGTTCTGCTTCTGCAGAAGACCTGAGTTCAGTACCCACCCTCATCAGGTGGCTCACAACCACCTGTAATTCCAGCTTCAGAGGAGATCTAATGACCTCTTCTGGTCTCCATGGGCACCTGCACTCACGTGTGCAAACACACACACACACACACACACACACACACACACACCAAAATA